TAAGTTTTGTGACTTTAGCAACACCTTCATTTGTATACTCCAATTATCATAATTGTTCTTGCCTAACTTAAAAATTTAGGATTACACAATGTTGTTAGCCATTACTATGCCAATTTCACTAAAACCCACAACAAATCACCATACCAATAAAAAAAAAAACCACAAATGAAAGACATAAGTTAAGCTTCACCAAACATTCAACACATAAAAACTACAAGCTTTGATACCACTTTTGTTAGAAGGAAAGTGCTAAGAAACATTTTCACAAACACTTGGCATACGTGCTCTATAAAGCTTCTTAAAACATAAACAACCCAAGCTTCAATGAACCACCAAAATCACAACTTTTCATCTCAATCATACATAAAATTTCAGCATAGGTTTCACACAAAAATCTATTTCTAATCAACTAAGGTCAAAATTCAAAATAACCATATAACCAACCATCAAGCATAACTAACATTCAAATTTGTAAATGACAAACAAATTAACATTTTCTTCACTCTAAAATGCATCAAAGATATTCATTTTAGTAAAGTAAAAAAAAGTTACGCAAAAGTTTGCATTTTTCTCACAAAAGCAGAAAACCCATTTTATTCATTCCTTTTCCACATATTCCCTTAGCCTTCTCAATCTCTTTATACTATTTTTCCAACCCCCTATATTCACAACCTTTGTGTTTTTTTTTTACTTTATTTATATTATAACTAGATTATAACCCGTGCGATGCACGAAATAATTTTATTTATTTAATATGAAAAATATATATACACAAATTAATTTCTTTTTAAAATTATATTCAAATCTTTAAAATTCATTACATATATAAAATTTATATTTATTAACTTATTATTAAAAAATAAACTTTATGAAAACAGCAAAAAAAAAAAAAAACTATGTCTTTCCTTTCGATATTTTTGTTTACAATAATATTTATACACTTATAAAATTACATCAAATAAAAATAAAAATAAATATTCTTGAATGATAAATTAACTAATAAAAGAAGTATTAACACATTTTCACTTTAGTAATTTTGACTAAATTATTATACAAAATATGGAAAATGTTAGAAAATATATGAAAAAAATGAAAAAATAAATTAAAAAAAATATTATTTTTCATAAGAATGAAACTGTAATAACAATAAAATATATCTTTAAAAAATTTATAAAAAAAACAAATTATAATAGTAATAGAATATACCTTAGGAAAAAGTTACTGAAAAAATAAAAAAATTGTTATATAACACATTACATTTGTAGTATTAAATTTGTAGAATAATTCTTTAGTGATAATTAAGATTAAATAGATAATTTTAAATTAATTTTTTAAAATTTAAAATGGATATAATAAGTGATCAAGATAATATTAAATTTTTTGTATTTATTTGAAATATAAATGTGATAATTAGAGTTCAAATAGATATAATCATGTTGGTAATCTTATTATTTAAAGATTTAAGATAAAGTTTTTTTGAATTTTCAAAATCTTACATAAAATTACTTGAATTTTTAATATCTTACGTAAATTTTTTAAAAAGATAAATTTTTAAATTAAGATAAAAAAGATTATTGAAAGATTTAGATAAACTTAATCCTTGTAATTTTTAAACATGTTTGAAATATTTAGATAATTAAATAATTTTTTAAATAAGATTATTTGATAAACAACTAAAATTATTTATTAAAAAATAAATTTCATATTTCATATATTTTTTAGAATATATATCTCTAAATTGATTTGATTTTCAATTATAATTTGAATAATTATGATATTTAAATAAATTTAAAATTACCTAATTTGTAATTAAAAAATTTATTTTATTCTTTTAAAAAAAAAATTTATGTGTCATTTAAGAGAATTGTCCACACGTACATTTATATAACAAACTTGCTTGAATATATTGTTATATAATATAATATATATATATATATTAAATTAGATGGGCCTAACTATAGAACACAAAAAAGGTACAAGTTAAAATGTAAAGTAAATGGACAACTAATAAAATAAAAGACAAATGACTAACCCAATATAATTAGATTTACAATCCAACAAATGATAGTACCATGATTCTGACAAAAAATACTTTATAACCATCTTCGGTGAACTCAGGGAGGCACATTATTGAAAGTTCTATTATTGCATCCAAAAAAATATATTAAACTAATGACAAACATTTATAATTTTATATAAAAAATAGAACTCCTATATAAATAATAATGGATTATGAAACAAGGATTGTACTTGATATTAAAATATATATTTATAAAATCATTCATATGTATAGATTTTTTTATACCCATTATAATAATCGAATAAATTATTACATTCAGTATACCAACAAAACCAAGTTAACAAATATTAAAGTAATATATAGCTAGACCAAATTTAATACAAAATAAGACTAAATTGAGTCATATTAAAACTCAAACCGACTTTAAAGTTTCAACAAACTCCTTTAATTACCATTAAGACAGTGACTGATCTTGCTGTTTAATTTTGAGAAGGTGAATTAAAATTTTAAAATTAAATATATTTTTCATTTGAATTATACTATTATATATTTTATTAACATAAAATGTATATGTAATAATGTACTAAAAAAATTTTATAAAATCTTAAATTTTATTAGTTCAAAATAATAGTATAAAAAATAAAAATATAGCAAATAAATAATTTTATTTAAAATTGTGAGCAATGTTCTTTTTTAGAAAATTAAATCTACAACAATTGAATCTGAATTAGATCCTTTTTTCTATGTTGACAACCAAATTATTTATAAAAAAAAACTCATCTTCCATCTTATTTTATAATCTTATTTTAATGATTATCATAACTAAAAATATTCAATCAGCTCACTATTTATTGTATATACAGAAAAGAATTAAAATAAATTCGATCAATTTATTAATAAAATAATATATTTTTATTTTTCAATTTCTATTAAAATAAGGACAATTATGATAAAGAGGATAAATTTTAATGTTTCACATCATTGTGTATGTCAATCTCAAAATGTTTCGAAATTTTAAATTAATTTCTCTTAGTTGGTAGAAGTTAGAATTTAAAAAGTTAACTTGGATTTTTTTTATAAAATTTATATGAATTATGACTTAATATTTGTTACAAACAATAGATTTTAGTTGTTTGTCAATAGTAATTAGTAGGTAAAATAAATAGATAAATATCAATCTAATTTTATCTTTTTAATTTAAAAAATCTAAATTAAAAATTAAAAATTTAAATTTATTTAATGCAAATATACATATCCAGACATATGAATAAAAGGAAACCATGCTTACCATCCTTCCCTGCATTAAGACAATGTCGAATTCAGTCAATTTTTTCATACCCATAATAATTCATAAACTTTTCAATTTAATTTGACCAGACCAAATTATTTATAAAAAAAGGCTTGCCCAAGCCACACGCTTCCCCTCTAATAATGCAGAAGTTTTGGCTCCGCCTGTGTTTTGTTAATTCCATTATCTTATCTTACATATGGAAAAAAACCCATGCATGCATTTATGCTGTTGCATATGGAAAAGACCTTACTCAAAAGAAACTGGGAATTGAATCCCATGGAATGCACGAGTTTATTAAAAAATATAAAGTAGCTATGACAAAATCAATCCCAAATGCATTGATGAATAGTTTATAGTACTAATAGTTAAGTCTTGGGGTTTTGCTGGCCTACCCATTAGCCTTCTTTTTTTTTTTTTAAAATATCATGTGTAATATACACTGTCTGCAATTTCTTGTTGTTCACATGTGAGCTCCATGTACATTTTTTATCTTAAACCACCAAAAAACCTCTTCAGAATTCCAGGTTTTTGTAGCTAAGTTGGAAAGGTCTACGGTCTGTTAATGGAATAAAAGTTTCAGGAATTCTTAGCCTCAGCATCCACAATTAGTTATAATTTCTTCAGTTTCTGCTTGTAAAGGCTAGTTCATGTATCACACACCTAAGAAAGAGTCTTGAATCTCACATCGAACATAATAAGAAAATCATTGGGGTATATAAGGGTTCACACCACCTCAACCTTGTGAGGCATCTTTTGTAAGACAAAACCGTGAGGTCAGAGGAACCATAGCGGATAATACCTCACAAGGGTGTGAATCGTAACAGTTAGGCTGATCTGGGATGCCGGAAGGTGTGAATGCCCGGGCTCGAAATCGCCGCGGGTCGACAGCTTAAGTCTCGGAACCCGTGACAAGGGTATCAGAGCCAGCTCTAAACCGTTTCGATCCACACGAGGGGGGGGATGAGAATTCCGGACCTAAGGAAGAGTCCTGAATCTCACTCGAACATAATAGAAATGTCACTGGGGTATATAAGGGTGTGAACATAATAGGAATGTCACTGGGGTATATAAAGGGTTCACACCACCTCAACCTTGTGAGACGCCTCACAAGGGTGTGAAACGTAGCGGTTAAGCTGATTTGGGACGTAGCGGTTAAGCTGATTTGGGACGTTGAAAGGGTGAATGTCCGGGTCCTGAAACCGCGCGGGTTCGGAGCTTAAGTCTCGACCCGTGACACATGTATGCTTCATGATTGATAATGTTTAAACTCTAGCCAAGTTTTTGGATAAACAAAGGAATTTAGACAATATACGTATGATATTGTATTATAGGCTTCACATGACACGTCTGTTTATTTATTACTATTTTTAAGATGGTTTGAGATTTAAGATTTAAAATCCTCCATTTTCTCTTGTTCCTCTTTCTGTGTCTCAGGAAAAAAAAAATTTGTTAAGCTCGTTCTCGCAATCAATTATATGTGCATTTTGTCAAACCCTTTAACAGGTAGAAACATATGAATGTCTATCAATTATCTAAAGCAAGTTTTTCTTATTATATACACTTAGATGTCTTGTTTTGGGTGCTCATTTTTTTCTATAACATTTACACAAACAAGTCTAACTTTTTCCATTTATATACAATGGATGAATCTGATTTATGCAGCTTTAAGTATTCAGATTGTCTCTATCTATTTCCCAGACAAGTTTTTACCAAATGGGGTTTCTGGATCTTTTTGCTGTGGCAATGATGCCAGTTTTAAAAGTACTATTGATTACTGGTGTTGGCTTGTTCCTTGCCATGGATCGCATAAATCTTTTGGGACAGGAGGCTAGACACCATTTGAACAATGTAAGTAAATACATTCCTGCGTCCTTTGCCTTGTATTACATAATGTTAAATTGGCTGAATGCCAAAATAAGCCCTTGAACTATTCAGAAATTTGCAGTGAAGCTCTTGCATTTGTATGGCATTCAACCTGATGAGCACTTTATCTATAATTTGCAATCAATAAGCCCTTAGTCGAAAGGAGTGATCAGGTTGCGGAGCCAGTGTCATCTCTATAATGCTAGCTAGAAAGAGTAAAAATATCGCCATTTAACAATGGCAACAGATAACCAACATTGCTCTATTATATTAATTAACATAGTCTTAGGCTCCTTTTGAAAGGTCCAGTCATAACCAATGCGGTGTGAACATTCCCACCGGGCTCCCAAATGAAGCCTGAATGGTATTGTCATTCACATTCAACAGCTGCATGATTTGTACTTTAAAATGAATTAGATAAATCAAGATGCTTTACTACTTTTTTTTTCTTTTTTCTGGAGAACAGATTGTATTCTATGTGTTCTCTCCTTCACTAGTAGTCAGCACCTTGGCTGAAACTATCACTTTTGAAAGTTTAGTTACCCTGTAAGTTCCACTACATCGTTACATTGTTCTTACTATTACTTGTCACAGGTCTCAACATCTTGTGCTAAATCTTAATATTTGATTTCCAGGTGGTTCATGCCGGTGAATATTTTGATAACATTCATTATTGGCTCAGCACTTGCTTGGCTTCTCATAAAAATCACTAAAACTCCTACACACCTTCAAGGCATGGTAATTGGTTGCTGTTCTGCAGGTACACACTACACACCTTCCTATTCTTATTCTAAAGCTTTCCTTTCATTTTCATTATCTCTTATATTACTGCATTAGGAATGATTGTAATGCCTAATTCTTTTATTTATGAATATTTCATTTCGATTCTTTGTGAAACTTGCATAGGAAATTTGGGAAACTTGTTTCTCATTATGATTCCTGCTGTCTGCTATGAGTCAAATAATCCATTCGGAGATTCATTTGTTTGTGCTACAAATGCTGGGGCTTATGCTTCTCTATCTACCGCAGTATGTTCTATATGTGCTAACTTTCAGATTTTGAAAATTTTTTTGGAAGGTAAAGATGAAACTTTATTGAGAAAGATACGCCATAACGCAGAATTAATTGAAACTGCAATGCAGATATCTATGCTCCATGATACATACATACATATATATATGTATATGTACTAATTTTATTTTATTTTTACTGTTTTGTACTTTGAACTGACAGATTGAAGCCATTTTAATATGGTCTTATTGAAACTGCAATGCAGATATCTATGCTCCATGATACATACATACATATATGTATATATGTATATGTACTAATTTTATTTTATTTTTACTGTTTTGTACTTTGAACTGACAGATTGAAGCCATTTTAATATGGTCTTATGTGTATCCTATCATGTTTGAGTATGCAAATGAGAGTAGGGAAAATGACCCTATCATTACCATCATATATATGTATGTGTACTAATTTTATTTTATTTTTACTGTTTTGTACTTTGAACTGACAGATTGGAGCCATTTTTATATGGTCTTATGTGTATCCTATCATGTTTGAGTATGCAAATAAGAGTAGGGGAAATGACCCTATCATTACCATCATATCTTCTGGAGAGACAGAAAAATTTTCAGACAGTTACACAGAAGCTTTACTACCTTCAAGGGATTACCACAGATCAGAAGATTATTCAGGACAAGATGAGCTGCTTTGCACCATCTCCGGGCCCAGTGAGAGTAAAAAGGTTTATCGTGGCTCTATATTCATCTCAAAATCTATCTTTACTTGGAATTTATCATCTTGTGGATATTTAATGATATTTTCACAATTGCTGTCAATGTTCATTCAATCTGCAACAGTACTCCTCTAGTTTGGTCCAAAATGGCAAATTAATGTTATTATTTATTGCTCGCTTTCTGTTTTTGTGATGAGAAAATGTTATTGCAAATTATTATATATGCTTGTAAGAACTTGTTTTCATATATATATATATATATATATATATATATATACATACATACATATATATATCCCGTTTGTAATTGGAATGTAGGAGTCATCCATTCAACTTTAACTTTAAAAATTACATTATTCAAACTATTGGATGCAGTTGCTTCCATTTCTATCCTTAAATCTAAATCTTATTACGTTTGTGAATAGATGTCAGTTCTGAAGAACACAATTGAACAGATCAAACTTATTATTGGGAAGATTGACCTGAAGAAGGTGTTTACACCAACAGCAATCGCAGCGGTATGGCAAGTTGCTTTCATCTGCTATATCTGTGCCTGTTTATATTACGGAAACTAGTGATGAAATACTTATTTGCAGCCTTTTTTTCTTGCCCATTCAGATTGTTGGGTTTATCATTGGGACAGTCTCTCCAATTCGGGAAGTAATAATTGGTGATACTGCTCCTCTTCATGTCGTTGATACTTCTGTATATTTGCTGGGGTATGTTCTATTAGACATCCTATTTAGCTTCTGATAGACAAAAAAAAAAACTATAGCTAGCATTCTTATGTATTTAATATAAACAGATATATATATTTATATATATGCAGGGAGGCAACAATTCCTTGTATGACCTTGGTGCTAGGGGCAAATCTTCTAGCAGGTGATTTCCTTTTTGATTTTGAACTTTCTCATGCTTGCTTCACATTTTTCAGCTTGAATCCCTCATGACTTGGGGCAATAAGTTATTAAAGTTTGTTTTTGCAGGTCTAAAAAGATCAGATGTAAGTCTAGTAGTCATTGCAGGGATTATAGTAGTGAGGAACATATTATTGCCGCTCTTGGGGATTGGAGTTGTCAAAGCTGCAAGCCATTTCGGAATGGTTGGATCGGATTCCTTGTATCAATTTGTTCTTATGCTTCAGTATGTAGCTCCACCTGCAATGGCTGTAGGTACAATGACACAATTATTTCAGCAGGGTCAGGTTGAAAGTTCTGTTATTATGCTATGGACTTATGCAGTCGCTTCATTCTCCCTCACACTTTGGACAACCTTGTTCATGTGGCTTGTGGCTTGATTTGTTATTCCTTTTTTTTTTTTTTTTTTGCTTCTTGTTTCTGGCACCACAACAGATAACACTGCAAAGCTATACAACCCAGTTTAATGCAGATATAGGTAGATTGGTTTCACATGTTCTGCTTCCGCATAAAGAACACTGCAAGCTGTTTGAAGCTTTGAATTTTAAATTGGTTAATCCAATGTATTAGGCAATGAAGCTCCAGTTTTTCCGTGGAGGCTGATTCCTAGCTTTTAGTTTGTCAAGGTTTTCATATGGGGTATTGAGAATTGATATATTACTAACTTCGCCATGATCTATAGTTTCAAATGACAATTTCTCTTTGAGGGTACAGTCCACTCAGTATCATCAGTCACATTCAAGCAGAACTTCAAAATAGGGAGAAACACTCTCTTGATTTGCTTGAACCAATTTAGAGAAAGAATGTAGTGAGGGAAGCCCAATGACTCTAAAAGATTGAGTGAATTTATAGATAGGTTATACTCTTGGCAGATCAGAAAGATATAGTATACAAGTGAATTGTCTGATAACATTTTCCTCCACAAACTCTCCTTTCTTTCCTACAATAAAGATTGGGAGAACTTCAGTATTCACAGAAAGGTAGCAATCCTGGTGGATTTTCTTCTCTATCATTGATTTTGATTCAAAGTAGCTTGGAATCAAGAAATGCTGACGACTTTACTGGATTTGATTTTCCAAAGAGTGCTCTTCGATCCTCTCCGGTGCCGTGTGCTCTTTCTCTACCAGTTGGAACATTTAAATTGAAAGAAAATTTAAAAGAAAAATTTTCTATTAACATCCCAAAATTTTTAATGGACATCTCAAAGACTAAAAAATTAAAAAAAAAATTTTGAAAGAAAATTTTTGTTGAACACCTTCAAATTTTTTATGATATCCTTTTCCATTAATAAAATTAATAAATTCGTAAATAATTATAATTATATATATATATATATATATATATATTGTAAGTGGATGCTTTCAGGAAAAAATTCTGAATCCATCTCCACTCAAACTGACTTTTGTGTGGCTGCCTAGTCCTTATAGAATTGGTTTATACAAATGTTGTTGGACTCATATACCATGAAATTGGTTATTCTGAAAATTTAGGTGATTGGGAGATATGTTGCACCTGAAGTAATAATCACAATAATACAAAAGTAATAGACAACAATCAATAATCAAAGACGCATGAAAAATAAAGTATACCAAGATTTATATGAAAAACCCTCCAGTGTAGAGGAAAAAAATCACGGACCACCAGAAAAATTTTCACTATCAAATAATAGGTATACAAAGTTCTTCTCTAGCTAAAACTAGAGCTAAACAACAACTAGAGAAAACAATTGGAGAAATCTCACCAAATAAGTGACTCAACAATTACACCCTAGATTTATTCCTAGAGAGCTTCAAACTCGATCTTCACCGTTCAGAATGTAGAACTCTGGATCATAAACCTCTTGATAAGGTTCCAACTCAATCGGACCACGGATTGACTTCCGTTCAACTAACTCTGCCTTCTCCTTTTTCTCTATGCTTTTCCTAGCTTTGCTTCCTTTCTCTATTTGATTTTCGACACACACTTAAAACAACCCTACCTATTTTTTATTAAGTAGCTAGGGCTCTATGTAAAATGAAAGATCAAGGCCCATGGCCTTTACTTGGTCCAAAACCACTTACATGAGGCTGGATCCCATTTTCCTAACAATCTCCCCTCCAACCCCATTAAGAGGAGATTCATCACCATAACAGTTTCATTTGGAACTTACCTTGGCCAGGAAACTCATTCCGGCCAAGTTACTACAAAGTTCAAGCTTTTTCCTGAGAAGTATCTTAGTCAACATATCTATTATATTCTTATCAGTATGGACTTTCTTCAATAGCATCTGCTGTTCTTCAATCATTGAACGTAACCAATGATATCTAACATCAATGTGCTTTGTTCTAGCATGGTACATGGCATTTTTACTCAAATCTAAAGCACTTTAGCTATCACAAAATACCACATACTCTTTCTGATTTAACCTCAATTCTAGAAGAAAACGTTTCATCCAAAGCATTTCTTTACATGCTTTGATTGCTGCAATATACTAAGCCCCTGTAGTTGACAAAGTAACACACTTCTGTAACTTAGATTGTCAAGATACAGCGCCTTCTTGCATAAAGTGAACAATACCCTAAAGTAATTTCCTACCATCAAGATCGCCTGGCATGTCAGCATCAAGTAAACCCTTTTAGAACTGGTTGTGAACTCCATTAAGTCGAGCACATTTTTGAGGTACCCCCTCAAATTATCTAAAAATTCATTTCACTTGCTTCCCTAAGAACTTTCTCCGGATTAGAAAGAAATCTACTCACTACACAACTGCATGGGGCAATGTTAGGCCTTATACAAAACCATAAGATACTTAAAGAACCGACTGCAGAAGAATAAGGAATACTAGACATAGCTAGTACTTCTTCCTGAGCACTGGATAAGATTTCTTACTTTAGATGAAAATGGTTGGCAAGTGAATTGCTAACTGATTTAGCATGTTGCATGTTGAATCTATTCAAGCATTCATTCAACCATACTTTTTCTGTGACAACCACAGTTTTTTAGCTCTCCTATCCTCGGATAAGGTTGTCCATACCAAGAATCTGCTTTGCTGGACCTAAATCCTTCATATCAAAAGACTTAGACAATTGTTCTTTCAACCTACAAACCATACTAACATCTTGTCCTACAATCAACATATCATCAACATATAATAATAATAGGATAATGAAGTTACCATTAGAGAATTGTTTAACATACACACAAGAATCTGTTGTTGTTCTTTTATAGCTATGACTCACCATAAAAGAATCAAACTTCTTGTACCACTGTCACGGAGCTTGTTTCAAGCCATACAAGCTTTTCTTCAATTTGCAAACTAAGTGCTCTTTCCCTTTCACTTTAAAACCCTCAGGCTGATTCATATAAATGTCCTCCTGTAAATCACCATGCAAAAATACAGTTTTAACATCAAGTTGCTTAAGCTCAAAATTCAAACTAGCTGCCAATCCCAGTACCACTCAAATAGAACTCATCTTTACAACTGGAGCAAAAATCTCATCAAAATCGATGCCTGATTTCTGAGAAAAACTTTTTACTACTAATCGAGCTTTATACCTCACTAGTTTGTCACCATCTTTTTTCAACTTGAACACCCATTTATTCTTTAATGACTTTTTCCCTGTTGAAAGTTTAACAAGATCATAAGTACCATTCTTTCGCAATGACTCCATCTCTTCTTTCATTGCTTTTAACCAATGCTCTCTATCCGAAGTAGCCTGTACATCTTGAAAGCTTTCTGGCTCCCCTTCACTAGTAACTAAAATAAAATCTGAACTTGGATACCTGGTAGATGACCTACGCTCTCTAGTAGATCTCATGGGCTGAGACTCTACATCACTTGATGCCGAAGGCAGCTCCCTCTGCTCAACACTTTTATATAGAGAGGATTGCTTTCCCTACTTAAAACTAATTCCATCTGGCTCATCACCAACTGTGGCTGGCTCATTCATATCTTCAAGTTCTGTTTCTTGCTCATTTTCACCATCTGTAGCTCTTTTCTGTGGAATCTTTGTCGGTGTTGAAACATCACACTCAACAGTAACCTGTGTAGTCTTTTCATTTTTTTCAAGGTCTGCTATAGTTTCTTTTTCATGAAAGACCACATCCCTGCTTCTGACTATCTTTCTCTTTACTGAATCTCATACCCTGTAGCCAAATTTCTCATCATTATATCCTACCAACACACACTGTGTGGCTTTACTATCAAGCTTTGATCTCTGCTCTTTCGACACATGCATGAATGCTTTACACCAAAAAACTTTCAAATGAGAGTATGAAGTATCTTTCCCTGTCTACACTATTTCTGGAATGTCAAAGCCCAAAGGAATTGATGGTGACCTGTTAAGTAAATAACAAGCTATGTTGACTGCTTCACCCCAGAAAGGCTTTGGCAATTTTGCCATCCTCAACATACATCTGACTCTTTTCACAATAGTGTGATTCATTCTTTCAGTTATACCATTATGCTGCGGTGTTTCAGGTCTGTCATCTCATGCCTGATCCCATGCTTTGAATAATATTCTTCAAAGCATTTAAATGTGTATTCCCTACCATTATCAGTTCGAATATACTTCAAGGGTAACCCTGTCATCCTTTCAACCATGGCATAAATTTTTTAAAAATACTGTAGTACCTGACTTTTGTATTTCAACATATACACCCAAGTCTTACGTGAAGCATCATCAATAAAAGTAATAAAATATCTGCTATCACCTAATGACTCAACCTCAATGGGATCACATACGTCAGAATAAATTAATTCCAATTTATTTTCTTTTCTCTGAGAACTTTTACAAAAAAAAACTCTATGATGCTTACTAAACAAACACTAATCACATAAATCGAGAGACATACCTTTGGTCAAGGGAATGAGAGACTATCTTGCCAAAACCTGTAATCTTTTTTCACTCATGTGTGCCAGCCTCCTGTGCCACAAGTTTATTGAAGCATCATTTTCAACGGTATTTACCTAGTTACCGTTCAATTGCATCCATGTCTTATACATTGTGCAGTATAGTTTTTCCTTTGTAACTACCATAGATCCCTTGAGAAGCTTCCACTGTCCATTCTTTTGTTGGCTTTCATATCCCTCCTTATCAAGGACATTAATAGTAAGCAAGTTCATTCTCATATCTGGAATGTGTCTGACATCCCTTAAAGTCAACATGCAGCTTGTACTAGTTTGTACAACAATATCACCAATCCCAACAATTTATGACACACTCTCGTTTCCCATCTTAGTATAACCAAAGTCTCTTACTTTGTAAGTTGTAAACAACTCTCTTTTAAAAACACAATGATATGCTGCTCTTGTGTCAACTATCCACTCAATGCCGGGATCACTAACATAATTACAATCACCATGTGTACAAATCAAAGTAACTGAATCACTATCTGAATTTACTGCTGTAACATTATCTTCATCTGAACTCTTACCTTTCTCATCTTTTCGCTCTTGCTTCAAGATTTTACAGTTTCATTTTATATGACCTGTCTTACCACAATAGAAACACTTCACTTCACCTCTAGACTTGGATCTATGTTTAGACTTACCACGGCCTTTTGAGTCTTGACCTCTGTCGATGTTTCTACCCCTGTTCTTTGTGACCAAAGCTTACATCTTTTTTCCTTGCTTCTTCATTAAGCATACTGTCCTTTACCATCTCCAATGTCACCTTATAATCAAGAGCTAAATTAAAAACAATCACAACTAGAGTATTCTAACTATCTGACAATGAACCCAAAAGAAATAATACCTTTATTTCATCATCCATCTGAAGCTCCATAGTAGTCATCCGATTAAATATATCTTGAAAATCACTCAAGTGCTCTGTAACAGATCGTCCATCCCTGTAATGTAAAGTTGTAAGCTTTCTAACAAGCATAATTTTATTCATACCTATTTTTTTCTTATACAATGCTACCAATTTTTCTCAAACAATGTGAGCATCTGACTCCTGCGCTACATGATGGAACACGCTGATATCAACCCATTTTTTGATTGTAACCAACGTCTTTCTACCTAGCTTCTTCCAGCTTTAATCTTTCATATCTACTGGTTTAGCCAAATCACCCAATACTGACTCATATAAATCTTTACAGTATAGATGATCCTCCATCATAAGCTTCCAAATTGAATAATTCGATGCTGTCAATTTTATCACGGAACCTGTATCACCCTCCATGATCTCAAACAGAATTTACTTCTATCATGGGTTGCTTCTGTATCGATGTCTCAAAATAACTCTCGCTCTGATACCACTTGTTGCGCCTAAAGTAATAATCACAACAATATAGAAGTAATAGACAACAATCAATAATCAAAGACACAGAAAAAATAAAGCACACCAAGATTTACGTGAAAAATCCTTCAGTGTAGAGGAAAAAAATCACGACCACCAAAAAAATCTTCACTATCAAATAATAAGTATACAAAGTTCTTCTCTAGCTAAAACTAGAGCTAAACAACAACTAGAGAAAATAATTGAAGAAATCTCACCAAATAAGTGACTCAACAAATACACCCTGGATTTATTCCTAGAGAGCTTCAAACCTGATCTTCATCGTTCAGAATGTAAAACTCTAAATCATAAACCTCCTGACAAGATTTCAACTCAATCGGACCACGGATCGACTTTCGTTCAACCAACTCTCCCTTTTTTTTTTCTCTCTGCTTTTCCTAGCTTTTCTTCCTTTCTCTACTTGGTTTTCGACACACACTTAAAACAACCCCCACATCTTTTTTATTAAGTAGCTAAGGCTCTGTGTAAAATGAAAGATCAAGGCCCATGGCCTTTATTTGGTCCAAAATCACTTACATGAGGCTGAACCCCATTTTCCTAACAAGATAGAGAGTTTTTTGCATCAATTCTTTTGTCTCTTAATGTAGAAATGATCTGATATCATGAACTTGTGCTCTGTAACATATCTTCACAGACCAATGCATATGTTGAGGCTCTCAAGTTAACAACTCTGCCGTAAGAATATGTTCAGATTGCTCACTTTACTCACTTTTTAGAATGAGATATATTTAAGAATGGTACTAAATTACAATGAAATATTCAATATGATACTTAAATTTTTAAAAATTTTAATGTGATTATAATTGAAATAGGATTTTGTTAACTAATTTAGTATTTAAAAATTTATTTATCTATCATTTATTATTAATTGAGTTAACCAAATTAATTAACAAATTTAAAATTTAAATACCTCATTAAAAATTTTTTAATTTTATGTATCACATTAAATATTTTATTATAATTTAAAGATCATTCATAATGTTAACTCACATGAAATTTATGATGTTAAATCTATCACATTATCAAAGGATTTCTTTGTAGGACCAACTGTGGTGCAACATATATGTGATTTATGCTATGCCTAGGCCTTATTATTGGCAGAAAATCTTCATACTAATCTTCCTAAAATATTTTACAAATTGACACATTTGGATCTTAATTATGGATGTTCTGACTAAACCGAAGGTGTTTTGATGTATATTTTTCATAAGTCACTTAATCTATACCCATTCTCCTAACATTCCACGGGTAGGTTTCTAAAGACATTGATATTGAATATTCAGCCACTATGCTGCTTATTGCCATGAGTTTGGATTATGAAACAGTCATAATCTGCTTTTATGATCCTATTGACCTTTTGACAGATAGTGATAAACTACCAGAAGCAGATAAGCTCTCAGTTAGGACTCTTTTGGAGGGTTCAAAAGGTTGTATAATTGAGGTCTGGTCAACATTTTTCAAACTTTACCTTGGAAACTCAGCTTTTTTTAATTTTTAAATTCAAGAAAGAAAATTTTGGTATAAAATTAAAAAATAAAGGTTGGGTGTACAATTGATTTACGTGTCTAATATATAGTAATTTATTAATTGAACTTTTTCAATTAGTAATTTCATTGTCTACTTTATACAATCTGTTTGGATAGGCTTGGACTGGTCAAAACCAGCCGTTTATTAACCTGCACCAGGGCAAATATCAAAAGATTTAAAAGAAATAAGAAGATCACTCAACAGCTGCAGCAACTTGAAGAGTGTCAATCTGCTGTAAGCAAAATCATGTTCTGTCCTGATAAGTTTGCTTGAAAATTCAGGGTCAAGGCCATACTTTATTCAGAATTAACTTAAATGCCATATATTTTGTCTCATTCTAAGTAGAAAATGTTTGTATTTTCTTGTCAAGTACAATGATTCCATATGGACGCTTTAAATTGCATGTGCTGATTTAACTTTATTTGCCGTATTTTGTTTCTCTTGGAAATTGTAATTTAGTGCTTTTAGTTAGATATACCATCTGTTTATTTATATAAATATTTTTTTGAATAAAATATAAAAATTATTATATTATAATTTATTTTGATTTATTACATATAAAATAATTTTTTTTAATTTTTATTAAAATTTTAAGTTATATTATTTTTATATATTTTTTATGTTATTTTTATATTATGTTTGAAATTATTAAATTTAATTCTAACTTGCGTTGCTTGCATCTTCTAGTCTGAATTTTAGAAAGGAGAGAATATCTAATAGTTAGAGCTTGAAATATCTTCAAATTTGATTATTAAAAAAGTAAGGTCGAATTTTTATAAAATGTGAGAGCTTCCCTCCTCCAATTCGAATGATAGAAAACAGAAGTAGAATGCTAGACAGCTACCTCACTTGTGTATGTGTGTGAAATAAAACATTGATGTAGACATGTTTTTCTCGCTCATATGATTTCAGACATATGTGGCTTATAAACGTTCAAAGTGGCCCACAACTCTATTAGAAAAAAAAAATTTTATCTGAGCTCCATTAGATATTATTGGACAAAGCCAACAATATCACCCACTATTCAATATCTAAAGCAGCCAGTCTAATAGACTTGTCAAACCAGCTTCTTCAGGCATAATAAGTGTTTTTCTTTGCAAATAATATTGGATTAATTGCGTATCTTGATTTTAGTTGTCGCTTTCCCAGTATTTTTTTTTTTTTACAAACAAATCGTAATCTAATGATATAATAATAGTTACAGATATTACAATTTGATCATAATAAATATTATTTTTTAAAAATAAATATATGAATCAATTACGTTGTAACTTAAACATAGGGATAATAGGAGTTGAAATTTAATTTAGACACGTTATATACCATTTTTTTTTTTTAAATAACTGTATGGTTCAGCCATCCTACTCCAACTTTATTTCTAGTCGTTTTCAGGTTTCGTTTCCTAGAAATATTTCTCTATCAGGTGAATAATTCTCTTTTTTTTTTTTTGTTCTGAAGGAGAAAACATTTGAGGCTGAAGCCAACTAAACAAATAGTATTAACTACGAAAAGATTCAATGGCTGAAAATGCTCTATCCTTAAGCTTAGACCTGATGCAATCTCCAAAGATTAAAAAAAGAAAAAAAAATCTTTCATGGTAGTAATGATCAAATGAATGCATAAAATAAACTGGCAAATTTTAAACAGGATTTGAATTTCTCTGACAAAATTTCAATACTAGCACAGCGACTTCAATTAAATGTATTAAACATACCAAACCAGCAGCACAGGGTATCTTCTCTGATAGGAAGAAAATGACTCTTACAATTATTTTATAGCTTGCGTTTTTCATTTGTTCTTTTCCTCTTCTAGCTGGAAATGAACCCTTATTAAACATACCAAACCAGCAGCACAGGGTATCTCTTCTGATAGGAAGAAAATGACTCTTACAATTATTGTATAGCTTGCGTTTTTCATTTGTTCTTTTCCTCTTCTAGCTGGAAATGAACCCTTAGTCAAACCATCAAATTTCAATTACTGTTTCCGTCTTCTAATGTGATATTTATGTCACTTTTATGGTGATTCCTTCAATGATTTAATACCTTACACACAAATCCAAAAAGTTTCAGATATTCTTTGGCTGCTAAATTGTAGAAACCAAAGTTCATTAGCTGCAGTTTTTCCAGAATCAAAGTTGCCTGCAGGTGTGTATGCTGATCTCCCTACAAGTTTCTGTTATTTTGTAATGAAATTTCAAGTTACAGGCCAAAGTTCTTTGTTTACGGCTGCCTGCATTTCATCATTCTTATTGTTTACAGTTTAGATTGTTCATAATAAAAGCTTATACGAGTTAAGAATGTAAGAATCAGCTTTGTGTTTTAGTCAGGCCACAGTGTGGGGATAAGAAAAGAGTTGCACGTGCTAAGATTAGAATCTTGCTTTGCTGGATGTCAATCTGTTAATGGTTACTACATAAACCAATTGAATGAAGCTTTGAGTTTAAATGAATTTTCATATATATATATACATTTATTTATTTTGTATATATAGGAACTCTGACTTTGTCTTATGCTATATGTTAATAGGGAGATTTTATTAGTGTTTTCTTCCAAGAAACGGATAGCTTCATGAATTTATCATTCCAGTCTTAAAAATGAAATATTACTATAACTTACTGGTGCTTAAGAAATAAAAAATAGTAAGTTATAGTAATATAATTGGATAGACCTTTTCAAAGAATGTATAAATTGCATACTACAAAAAAAGGCCTTTTTGAATCTATTTTATTTTATTTTTTTTCCGTATGCACTCCAATTGCTTCAATATCTTATTTCATTTATGTATTCATTAGTCTGAGAAGCTTATTAGAACCAGTTTTGCAGCTGCAAGTTTTGAGGTTCCCTCCAGAAGTTCCAAAACAAAGATTGGCAATGGGGTTTCTGGATCTGTTTGTTGTGGCACTGATGCCAGTTCTAAAAGTATTGCTGGTAACTGCTGTTGGACTGTTTCTTGCCATGGAAAAAGTAGGTCTCTTGGGGCCAGAGGCTAGGAACTACTTGAATAAAGTACGTAAATACTTTTCTGAATCCAATTTTCTTTTATTAAGCGGCAAGGAATTCTCGGGCTTTACCTAGTACATCCACTATCCGTGCTGTCTGAATCGCATTTGACCATAAATACATAATACAATGTTAAACATTTATGTTAATAGTCAGCTGATTACCAACATCTTTTACTGCTACTGTTTTTGGCTTGATTAATTCAATAGCCTCGACATCCAATTCAAACTTTGGTGCTTCAGTGTGATCTGTGGATTTTCACTTTAATATAAAATTTTTCCCAAATTGTGCATGCTTTTAAAATTTGTTGCTGCAATTGTTCACATTCAGCTACTAAATAATGGCTACCTCTCTTTTTTCGGATGTGCAGATTGTTTTCTATGCATTCAGTCCTGCCCTTTTGGTCAGCAACTTGGCTGAGACTATCACTTATAAAAGCTTGGTTACCTTGTCAGTTCAATTCCATTCTTTATTCTATTTCAGATGCTTTCTCGATCGGTTTATTCAGCTAAATCTTGTGCTAATTGTTCACTCTTTTCCTTGTTTCTTTCAAGGTGGTTCATGCCTCTGAATATTCTTCTAACATACCTGATTGGCTCAGCTCTTGGTTGGATTCTCGTTAAAATCACTAAAACTCCTAAACACCTCAAAGGAATTGTCATTGGTTGTTGTACTGCAGGTTCTTTTTTTCTTCAAATTTTTTGGTATTTCTAATTATAAAACAAGCTCCTTCTGTCTTCACCATTTCTTGAGGATGCTGCCGTTGTCAATGGATACATATATTGTGCGCAGGAAACTTGGGAAACTTGCTTTTCATTATTGTTCCAGCCGTATGTGATGAGTCGGATAGTCCTTTTGCAGATTCATCTACTTGCTCTACAGATGCTGAGGCTTATGCTTCACTATCTATGGCAGTATGATCTCTGATCCTAATCTTTTAGACCTTCAAAGTTGTGCTTTCTAGCAACCTGTCAAATGTGGATTACTAAGCTGTTTACCCTCGTAAATCCGCCTTCAGAATTAAGTGTCATTCCAAAATTTTTAAAAGAAAATATTTATACATTTAAAAAATTTTCTGAACTTTGGCATCTGCAGGTAGCAGCCATTTATACTTGGTCATATGCATACTTTTTGGTGAGTGCTTATGCTGTTAAGCGTACCGAACACAGCTCTATCCAGTCTTCTGAAGCGGCCTCTGAACCATCTTCGGACGGTTGCACTGAAGCACTACTAGCTTCGAGTTATAGCCAAATTACCGAAGACGGCTCAGGGAATGTTGAACTGCCTCTCACTGACCTCAAGGAAAGAAAAAAGGTTTAGCCTGTTTCTATTTTGATATTATGTTGCTATCTTTAATCAGAGATTTCATATCAATATCTAGCTCAATCCGCCGTGAGGATAGGATAGCTTTTGATAATACTGATTGGAATCTGGTCATAAGTACTAGTATGAGAAGATATCAGATTTTCTATCTTTTAGTTTTCTTCCGTTTCTTTTTCATTCTGCTGGGCCTTTCATGGCACAACTTCTTGCAGTCTGTTACATATTTTACCATAGCATACTGATGAATGATGCTACTAAAATGAAGCAGTCCCCTTTCTTTTATCCCTCCAATGATAATGTTATCAACTTTTTTAGTAGATGTCATTTATGGAGAAGATTGTTCAGTGTCTCAAGAGCATTATGAGCAAGATCGACCTAAAGAAGGTGTTCGCACCAGCAACTATTGCAGCGGTATGTTGGCAACATCTGCTGCACACATGAATGTCTTATCAATTGTTTATACTTTCTGTTTCCTATTCTCCCTTCAGATAGTAGGGTTTGTCATTGGGATAATCTCTCCGGTCCGAAAAGTACTAATAGGTGACAGTGCCCCTCTTCATGTAATTAACAGTTCTGCAGCTTTGATAGGGTATATCCTATTCCACACCTCTTTTGGATTCTGATGCAGGGAACTTCACTTATCTTTTGGACTAAAAAAGTATTGTATGACTTTCAGGGAGGCAGCCATTCCATCCATGACCTTGATAATGGGGGCAAACCTTCTCAAAGGTGATTTCCTGTTCTCATTTTGAAATGTTTACACATGAATGTTATGAATAGCTCTTAAATTATAATGAAATATTTAATGTGATATCTTAATTATAAATCAATTAACTACTATGATACTTACTCCTATGGAAATTAGCTCCAAATGATGACATGCTGACAAACAACATTCTTGTCATTATGCCAAAGTTTAATAATGTCAGCGGAGATGCAGTTACAATCTTGCACTTGCAGGTCTAAAAAGATCAGAAATGAATCTGTTGGCCATTTTAGGGGTTATAGCAGTGAGGAACATTTTCTTGCCTCTCTTGGGGATCGGTGTTACTAAAGCTGCACACCATTTTGGCTTGGTTGGATCAGATTCTTTATATCAATTTGTTCTTATGATTCAATTTGCTGTTCCGCCTGCACTCAACATAGGTAAGATTAGCATCTGTTACAATCTTCATATGCCTGCATATATACAAACTTATTTCAGACTTCAGAGTTTCCATTAACTTATATTTTCAATACAATCCTGGATTAAACAACTTTGCACTACAGTCTACAATTACCTTGTATTGAACCAAATTAAAGTGACTTTGTGTTGAAACTCTTGATCACATCTGTTTCTGAAATGAAATACAGAATTCAGGTTGTTGGAGGCAGGGCCGAGCAAAAACCGAGAAAATTCAAAACAATCCGTACTTTTTGGTTTGATTAAGATCGGGTTTTCTTATTCCATCGAGTTTAAGTTTGATTATTAAATGTTTTTATTTGGTTTGGATTGGTTTTCAAATTGAGAAATAAAAAATCGAAAATATTTTAACCAAACCAAATTATATATCTTTATTAGTTTTTATATTTTTTAATTTTTATAAAGTAAAAATATTTATTTTATATCTAAATTTATTTAGGTATATTCAAAAAATATTAAAATAAGATCAAAAAATTTTAAAAAATAATTTTTAAAATTCTAAAAATCAAATAATAGAATTCGATTTGAGTTGGATTAATTTTAAAAAATTTAATTCAAATTCGAATTAAATTTTAATAATCTATTATATTATATATTAATTAAAATAATTAAACTGAACTATTATTACTCTTAGATGATGCAAAGAGACTAAGAAGAGCTAACATTATTGATTAATTGATTTTGATGATCCTAATGCTTATTTCATTGTTACTCTAATGAGCTAATTATATGCAGGTACAATGAGCCAACTATTTCAAAGTGGTCAGGGTGAAACTTCTATCATTTTGCTATGGACTTATGCTGTAGCTTTGATTTCTCTAACACTTTGGTCAATGTTGTTCATGTCGCTTTTAGCTTGATTTGTAGTTCAAATTCCTTTCGTCTCCAACTTCTTCCACCACAAGCCTATAGAATGCAACTTATTTGTAGAAACGTTGGTTTATATATATACATGTATATATATATATATATATATATATATTTATATAAGGTTTTAGACAAGCGAGGTGATTGTTTATGCTTAAAAATCTAATATTGATATAATATTTAAAAACTTGATTTGATTGTATATGATTAAATTTTTTTAATTATATATATATTTGAGTTTAATAAATTTTCAACCGTTAAGAAGAATATTTGTTGACATTATTCAATTAATTTGTTTATCTTTATTCAATTATATTATAATGTCTGATATTTGTATTTGATTAATGTTTAATTGTTAAAAATTAGAAAAAATTTATTAAATTTGAAAGGTCTTACATAATTCTATGCCTACACAAATTTTAATCATAATTGAATTTTATGGAATTAAAAGATTTCTCATAAGGTTTATAATGTTTTCAAAAATAAGTTCTATTATTATTAGTGTTAGGTTAGTATTGGGGGCATTTTTGAATTTAAAAGATAAATTGGTCATTTCTCTCATTAAAGACTATCAACAGATAATCAAGAATATTTTTGACTTTTGGACCAACTTGACATATACAATGCCATTTCAGTTCCACTACATCACTATGCATCTCCACAGACCTTCCACCTTCCACCTATAAATAAAGCCATCTAAGTACTATCTATCCAATTTGATTTTCCTTTACACCTCTAGTCTCTTTTCCTTCTAATGTCCCATATTCCAATCTTTGATTTGAGTGTTAGAGTACAAACGTAGAGAATACTATTTGCTTTTTAATCGCTCTTTTTTTGTTAGACTTTTATCTTAAAGTTAGGCATAGATATTTGATACACCAAGTAGGGGCTATATTCCTTGGCCAAGACAAACATTATGCCACCTAAAAAGAAAACCAATAAAGAAGAAAGCCAACTATCCCAACCGAGACTGAAACCCATAACAGTCAACTTACAGATTGACCTACGTAAATACAAGTAGGGCCAACCATGGAATAACTCCAAGCCTTAGCCAAACAAATATAAACCTTAAAATAGATGCTCCAAAGCATAATACCACCTCAAGCTTCAAAACAATAGACAGATAGCTGAGCTATGAGAAAGTCAAGGCCTCTTCAACCTCTAATGAGAAGGACTAAACCATTATTGTTACCCATCATCATTATCCCAACTACAACTCTACCCACGCAACCATACAAAAATCTAAACAAATTAACCTATAACCCTAATTGAACAAAGACTTGGAGGCTAGAATGCAAACCATAGAGAAGGAATTGAAGGGAAAAGCTATCATTTTTTAGGACAAATTAAAATTCTTAGAGACGTCATCCTTCACCGAGGAGATTAATCAGGCCATGCCCCCAAAGGGATTTAAAATACCGATATTGGAAACCTACGACGGTACCACTGATCTCTTTGATCATTTGAAACTTTATAAAACTAATAAGATTATGTAGGGTGCAAACGAGGCCCTAATGTGTAAAGGATTGACAACAACCCTTAAAGGGGCAGCTGATCCTAGTACTGCAACCTCAAACCGAGGCTAATCACCATATTCAAAGAGCTCAACCACTTTTTTCTCTCCTATTTTGTTAACAGCAGAAGAACTAAGAAAACTACCTTAAGTCTAATGTCAATCCAATAAGGTAGGAATAAGTCTTTAAAAGACTATGTTATGCGTTTTAACGTGAAATCTCTTCAAGTGAAAGATCTAGAGCAAACGGTCACTTTAGTTGTCCTTACTAGTGGACTCAATAATAAAAAATACCACCTAAAGCTTACTTTATCCCTAAAACCGCCAAAAACACTAGACAATGTCTTACTTATGATTAAAAAATATATAAACGTTGAACCTACCATGAAAAACAACTGAGATTAGAAAGGCTTATACTCTTTCCTCAGTGATCGAGGTAAAAGAGGTTCATCTCCCCTTCTTAACGGAAAAAGATAAGAAATTATATGATTTTCCCCCAAGAAAGAGTAAAAAAAGCTACCCAAGGGCCAAGAGCCTAAGTAGACAATGAAACTACACAATACTAAATACCTCCAAAAAGCAGATTCTAATACAAATAGAAAAAGACCCTCGGCTTAAATGACCAAACCATTGAGACAGAACAAACGAAGAGACCCAACCAAGAGATGTGCTTTCAACAGAGACGTCAGGCATAACATTGAAAACTATGTTAACTTGAAGAATGAAATCAAAAGTTTAATAAAAAAAGGTCGACTACGTAGATTTATATATCGAGCAATACAAGGTTAAAGCAAAATGTAGTATAAAATGAGGGATAAGAGAGAAGAGATAGGAAAGAACCTGAAAGCATAGAAAAAAGACAACAAATGTGGTTAAAATCAGAGGAACGAGTAAGAGAAAAATGACGGTCAAACTGTAGATAAATGACCTATTGCAGGTATAATTAATGTAATTAATATGGAAAACTCTACCTCAACTAAAAAGAAATTTGATCAGAGCTTGGTTATGGCGATTAACTCTTCGATCAAAAGGAAAAAGAATTAGAAGGATAAACTGATCTCCTTTAGCGTGAAAAATCTAGAAGGAATCTAGCATCTTCATGATGATGCCATAGTAATTACAGTAATGGTGTACAACTATATGGTTAAAAAGATTTTATTTAATAGCATAACTTCTACCAATATCTTGTACTACGCTACCATGAAGAAGATAGAAATAAAAAAGGATAAACTGCAATCAATTACCACTACACTAATTAGATTTGAGAATGAACAGGTGGTAATAAAAGGGACCATCAAATTGCCAAGCTTATTAGGCACCAAATTAAAGACACTCAAAAGGTCATAGAATTCATAGTAGTAGATGTCTCATCAACTTACAATATGATGTTTGGCCAACTAAGTTAGTTTGTTATTGTAGCTTATAAGCTCAACTCCCCATTTAAATGTAAAATTTTCAACACCTCACGGGATTAGAGAAGTCAGGAGAGGCCAATTCACAACATGACAATGTTATGTCATGATGATGGAAAAAAAATTGGGAAGTAGATTGACGACTCGGCTAAAATCGATGAGTCAAAAAAGGAAAAGGAAGTCATAATGGTTAAAGTAAAAAAATAAGAAGAAAACAAGGGTAAGCAGTAACAATAATAAAGACCGATGTGGAAGAAGAGCATTTTTAAGTCACTCTAAGCTTTTAAGCTTTATACTTGTATAACCTACAAACTTTTACAATTTTTGAATTGAATCTACAAAGGTCAAGCTCTTAAGCCATCATATACACATGTCAATGGGACCAAGCTACTAAGCCAACAAAAAAAAAATTGAAATGAAAACATACATTTTGCTCAACTCTACATTTCTATTATGTATCATCTTACTAACAACAATCTAACTTTCATATCGAGATCTATACTTCTCACAAGAAACGATCCCAACCTGACTGAGTATACAGAAATAATTGATCAAAGACCTGAGATTGATGAAAATCGAACTAAATCGATAAAAAACCTTATCCTTATATCATTTTGAGAGAATATCATAAAAAAATATGTAAATTGGGGTCAAACTGGATCACAAAGATCAATTCATTCAACTTTTAAGGAACAATGCTGACCTATTTGCTTGGACACCATCAACATACTAGGGATTGATCTCGAGGTAATGGTCCATAAGTTGTACACTAATCCAAATATGTAGATAGTTTGGCCAAAGAAAAACAATTTTGTCCTAGATAGACATAAGGCTATTGAGGAAAAGGCTGGCAAACTACTACAAGTAGGCTTCATTAAAGAAGTATACTACCTCGATTGGATAGTCAACGTAGTCATGGTAAGAAAAAACACAACGAAAAATGGAGAATGTTCATCGATTTCACCGAACTAAATAAAGCCTATCCAAAAGATAATTTTTCTCTTCCCAGTATAGATCAACTGGTTGATGATAGTGTTGAGCATGGCTTGCTCAATTTTTATGGACACCTACTTAGGCTATAATCAAATAAAAATGCTAAAAAAAGACCAGAAAAAAAAGCCTTCATAATAGAGAAAGGTTTGTACTATTACAAAGTCATACCCTTTGGCCTAAAAAACTCAAAAACGACGTACCAAAAGTTGGTTATAAGGTCTTTAAAAATCAGATCAACAAAATATATGGAAGTATAAGTGAATGACATGATAGTTAAGAGTAAAAGCCTAGCCGAACACTTAAAAGATTTAAATGAGACATTTAATATCCTAAGAAAATATAATATGAGACTAAATTTAAGCAAATGTGCTTTTGAAGTCATGTCAAGTAAGTTCCTTAGGTAAATGCAATTTTTAGATAGCAAAAAGGCAAATTTGTCATTTCACCTACACAAACTAATTAGATCAATCACAAAACCTAGACTAAATCAATCAAATAGTTTCATTCCTAGGTCAACCCTATATTAGGCTAGAAAATCAAACTCTAACATTAAGAAGAAACATAAGTCTCACGTCAGACGTATGTGTCATGTCAGTAATTGCTCATAAGCTTGCTTAGCCCAACCTTGAGCCACTTAAACATAAGGCCACCCACTCGATAAACCAAGACAAGCCAATTAAGCATATAACCCAAAATTACACTCAAGATCAAGCTCAGCACCTATGATCACATGATAGGTCGACACATTTCAGAGCAGCCAAGATTACACTCAACAGCCTACAATTTATTATAAACCTCTTTCACCCGACTTTCACATTAGTCTTAAGAATATTCAACCTTAACAACATGAGGTTAAACTTGATGCACAAAATTTCAAAACCCACGTTAAAAAATCTCAAGGTTGGATTAGCTAACATGTACGTTAGAAGGGCTCAATCAGGTACTTATCAGTCTAATACTTAGACTGTTCGATGAGGGCATAAATGTTAGGAATATTTTTGGATTCAAAGGGCAAATTGGTTCTTTCTCTCATTAAAGATTGTTTGCAGACAACCAAGGATAGTTTTACTTTTGGGCCAACCTGACATGTCAGACCAACCTAACATATGTAATGTTACATCAACTCGATTATATCACTATTTTACCCTACAAATCTCTTACCTTTTGCCTACAAACAGAGCCATCCAAGTACTACCTATCTAATATGATTTTCCTTTACACCTTTAGTCTTTTCTCTTTCCAACCTCTTTTATTTCAATCTCTGACTTGAATGTCAGAGTGCAAATACAGGAAACACTTCTTTTCTTTATTCTTAACCGCTCTATTTCTTTTGTGATTTCAGGGTTCAGACCCTCAACTCAAAGTTTAGCAGAAAAATATAATCTTTTACCACATTAAATCAACCAATAATAACAATTAATTTTGAAACTAAATTTAGCAAAGTGTTATATCAATGACCTTCATCCTTTGAAGCAATGCAGCTAGTTGAAAAGACACCTTAATGAAAATGGTTAAAATATTAAAAAAAACCTTTGAATTGTTTTTTTAAAATAAATTTTTATACTTTTATTTTATCAAATAAGTTCTTATATTTTGACTTATATTCAAATAAGTCCGTTATTTTAAATGAAAAAAGGTTTATGTTAAGAATTTATTTATGTACAAATTAAAATTTTAAAGATTTATTTGGATATAAATTAAAGATTAATGATTTATTTGGGTGTAAATTAAAAATTAAAGATACATTTGAATGCAATAAAAATATAAAAATTTATCTAAATAAAATTATAAAGTTTAAGACTTTTTTTTTTAAAATTTTATTATAAAGACTCCGGAATAATGATCCATTTTATTGATTTAAATCATTAAAATGTTAATAATCTAACACCAAACAAAGAAAATTCTAATAAAATTGAAATGAATTTGAAATTTTATGAAATAGAATAAAGAGAAATCTTATTGAATGTATGTTCTTGGACACTGGGAGATGAGGTCAATTGAACTCTAAGAATGCTAATTAGAAGCGAATGTTGATTAATCAAAAACCCTACGGTTTATAAAATTATCAAATCAGACAAGTCTATGTTGAAAGTAAAACTTGTTTACAAAGAAATTGCTCAAGAAAAGCTTTCAAATACAAAAAAGAAATTTAAGGAAGATGATGAAACAATAAACTGAGTTGCTGGAACTTAGGTATGATGAGTCTGTATTGTGTAGTAAGTTTGTAGGCAGTTCCCAATGGTTGCCTTCTCCATTGTAGTAACCATCCCTTTTGGTTTTGGCTCAAGTTAAAAGTTGTTACATAAAATTAGATATGATAATTTACAGTATGATAATTTGACATGAAAACTATGCGAAAAAATATACGAAAGTGATATAATTTAAAATTTAAGCAAAATTTATATAAACTTAATAAAAATAAAAAATATATTTTATATTTAGCGTGTCAATATATATTAATACATGTTTGATATAATATGAACACAATACCAATACACAAAATGCTAAAACTACATAAAATCAGCAATTATACTTTCTTACTTGATTTCATGCTAAATTTAAAGTAGTTTGGTTACTAGCCATTTACTTTTCTAGAAAACCTAAAATGTAAAAATCTAGATGATATAGTATTTATCTAATTTGAATATTGGACTATGTTAACATTAACATAATAACATTAAATATAATCTTTCACATCAATTGACCAAATGCCCTATTTATAATATCAATATTTTTTATATTTGAATTATTGTTCTATTAAAATTACTATTTAAATGTGGAATGGGTATTATATTAAATTGTAAATAACTATGTTATAATAAAATCAAATGTCAAATAAATAATATTATTTTTTTTTATTGTTAATTGTTGTAAATATGATAAGGATAATATTAAAAATCATTTGATATTCTTAGTGTGTTTCAAATTAATTTCATTTCATCTCCAATTTAAAAAGTCAACATTAATTAGTTTTGTTGTTAATATATTATTGATATAATTGTATAATAATTATAAATAATTTTTATTTTTTATTTAAGAAAAATTTTATCATTTATTTATTTATTTATTTTCATTTTTAAATTAAATCATATAATTATACCTTGAATTTTCCCAAGTTATAAATTAAACTTTTATAAGTCTCAAATCATATCAATCTCGAGTTTGAGTTTATGTGAATTTAAATCATGACTGATTTGGATTGTATCTATTTTTTATTTTTTTTAGATTTGAATTGATTCGAATTTAAATTTTCTTTTAAGGTTAACTTTTTTTGAATTCAAATTTAAAAATTTTTTTAATTAATTTGAATCAATCTGAGTTCAATAACGAGCTAATTCAAGTGAATTTTTAAGTTTAAGTCAGCTTTATCAGCTTTTCCCGTAAGATTGAATCTTTATTTTCGAAATTTGCATTTCCTATTTCTCAAACTTTGGTTTTTTTGGTACAAAAAGATTATAATATTTAATAATAAAATGTTACTTTATATCAAAAAGTAAATATTTTTAAAACTAAAATTAAATAATATATTTCTTAATAAATAATCTAGTATTGTTTAATCGAACTAGACTTGAAAGAAAAATTTATGTTTAAATAATTAAGATGTCCATTGGCCAAATCAATGGATTCGGTTCATCTGTTTTTTCAATATTAAATAAAAAATTTTGTTAATTATCAAATCAAAAATCACATCAACACAAACAAAAATTTGTGCTTGTTCTTTTAATGTTAAAAGTTCTTTTTTTTTTGGTTTTTTTTTACTAAACAATATTTTTTATTTACAATTCTGAACACTGTTCAAATAATAATTTTTTTTATACTTATGTTTCTTTTAATTTGATTTTAAACAAGATTCTTCATTTAATGTTAAAAAAAGAGAAGAGCCAGGTGAAGGTTCAGCTCAGCTGAAACATCTAAACTCGTCCAAGATTCACCTGATGTTGTTAAAAAAAATTAACATTATTTCTATATTAATATTTTAATATTTTTAAATGTTATTTTAAAATTAAAATTAATTAATTAATTAATAACCATATTGAGCCCGATCCAAATTGGAAAATTTTTATTTTAGCCCAACTGCAGTCAATATAGGCCCACTGGCCGGGTAAGTTAGAGGGGCTGGGTATTCAGTCCAACTGTTGAAACTGGAAAAAAAATACAATAAATATTAAATTTTTTTATATAATTATGGCCATCAATCTCAAAGCAGCTCGCTGCGGAAACGTTCAATTCTTTTACATAATTTGGTTTATGTAATCACCAAAATCGGCACTTCTCAGGTATCAAAATTTCTCCTTCTTTATCTGGGTATTATTCTTTAAGCACTCAGTTCTATAGCTTTTTCTTTTTGTCAAGTGGACTTACATATGCTTTTTATGGGAAGATTGCTGTATTTTAGGCTTTTACAGCGGAGAATTTCATCCCATTTCATGGGTTTTTTTCCTTTTCAATTTTGATGGGCATTTGGACATGAACTAGCTGAAATATGGACCCTTTGCCTTCCAGGATTTTATGTTTGCTAAGCTAATATTAAAGAACCCCAACATTTTATAACTCATAGATCATATGAACCTCTAGCATATGCGTTTTTCTTTCCTTTCATTTCTCTCTCTTTTTTAGTGGGGTGGGGGAGGGGGGCGTTGCTTCTTTGATATACTTATCTGATTGCAGAGTCATGGATTTTTAATGTCGGTAGTCGGATTTAAATTCTGACAGACTCAATTATATAAAAAAGGAAATTTATCTCATTTTTATTTACCGTTGCTCTCTTTTGTTAATGTAAGCAAAATTTAGTGACTTTTTTATATTCAGCTTTCAAAAATTAATGGCTTTAACTGCAATTTTTTATTTATAAGAAACTTAGTATGGTATGAAAATGTTGAGAACGGGTATTTTATAACATTTATATATATCTTAGAGTCCTTAATTTGGGAACTTAAGTAGAAAAAATTTTGATTGATGAATCATATTATCACCTCCTGTAATAATCCTAATGGAATTGAATTATATGTATCTTGAGTCAGTGCTCATTGTTAGGAATTCGACCTCTGCTATTTTAGATAGTTTTCGTGATCGAAGATTGATGAAATCAAGAATTCAGAATAGGTTGTCTAGAATCTGTTGGTTTTTACTTAATATTATTTTCTTAAATTTTGTGCATGCATTGGAACTCTTATAGGAGCTTAAACAATTTCATTGTTATGTTACATTTATTTATCTTCATTTCTGGCTATTGTTTAGTGTATTTAATGTTCTCTTTTACGGATAGAATTCTGGACATGGATGGCAGTGCTTCATCAAATAGTTCCAAAACGCAAAAGGTTTTGGAGGACAGGATGCAAGTTAGGAAAAATATTTAATCAGCAGATTGCCTGAGGATATTCTTGTTCACATTCTATCATTCCTTTCAACTGAAGATGCTATATGAACTTCCATATTCTCGAAAAGATGGAAATACCTGTGGGTTTCCATTCCCAACTTTTGTTTTTGTGATCATTCAGTCTGGTCAAGGGCCATGAGCCATGACCAGATTCTAGTAGTTGGGGCTAGCTTCATTGGTTCAGTAGACAGAGGACCTCTTCTTGAAATGGACCATGCATAGGAAAATTCCATCATTGGTTAGATATGCCTGTTGGTGCATCCCGTCTTCACCCATGGCTGTCTGCTGCAGTAAAGCATAACGTTCAAGAGCTGAATCTTCGGTTTCCTAAGGAAAAAGAGTTTGTATTGCCTAATAGTTTATTCACTTCCACATCGCTGCACAGTTTTTGGTTGAAAATGCATTGTAATCTGAAGCTTCCAAGTTTCATAAGTTTTTCTTGCTTTAAGGACTTAAATCTTTGTGGTGTTAAGTTTCAGGATGATCAGTCCAACCAACAACTATTTTCTGGTTTTCCGGTCCTCAAAGACTTGACTTTATATCAATGTTATTGGGGAAATGTAAATGAAATCACCATTGAAATTCCCACGTTAAGACTTTCTCCGAAAAGGTTATTTTCAAAGATAATTTCCTTAATTGCAAGATCATAATTTCTGCATTGAATTTGGAGACTCTCAAAGTTTGCAGTTTATCTGAAAGTTGAACTTTTACCAGCTAACCTACTATCTTTGAATGAAGCATCTATATATATCAATTACTTGATTGAAGGGCAGGAAGAACACAGTCAGCGCCTAGTAAAGTACCTTGTGGACTTCCCAACATTAAATCTTTTAAACTGTCAAATGAAGCCCTTGAGGTAATGTCACTTCCCTTCTTGGACACAATTGGAACTAGAAGAACCTTTGTTATTTCTAATTTTTATATTCATTTTATGCAGACTCTATATTGCCTTCTTGCTATAAATAACTCATCGAGTCTTTTTCCTGTGCAGTCTCTTCTCTTTGCTGAGAGTAGTCAAGGGCATTTTCCTTCATTTTATAATTTGACTATGTTGAATGCGACTATGAATGGTCCTTATGTCATGGATGATGATTACACTAGTGGTGCTTGGATGAATATGCTTCAAAAATCACCAAATCTTAAATTTCTCATCCTTTCAAGGGTACGTTTGTGGGAATTGGATAATTAGTTACCATGTTTATTGCTGCATTTTCACATTCTTAAGCAAGTGCAATTTTTTTTTCCTTTTATGGTAAGATTGTTTAGCTTTGATGTTAAATGGTTTTCTGATACACATTTAGGGATTCAATTCAGAGGACGATGATATGATAATGGACATTGTACCTGGTTGTTTTCAGTATTGCCTCAAATATGTTCTAATCTATGATGTTGATGGGGCTGCACAAGGGTTATGTTCTTTAAAATATTTGTATGAGAATGCACCAGTTTTGGAGAGTTTCTGTCATTTGCTCACCAAAATTATCCAAAGATTTAGATAAACAAGAAGAGATCCATCATGAATTGAGACAACGAGACAACTTCGTGGCAGCTCTGGCAGTTGCAAAATCGTGTTGCTTCCCTACTGGGCTTCCTTCTAAACTTGTCAATTGCGAAAGCCTTCACCATCAAGGTCAGTGATTGATTCAGAATTAGCTTAAATTCTCCTTTGTCAAATTTAAGGTAGACAATGTTCATAATTTCGTGTGTAATTATATTACCTCTAGCAAGTAACATGTATCTTTTTGAAGTTTGAGGCCAATGTGAAGGACCCTTGAGGTTGCATAGGATTGCTACCAAAGGATAGACATGATCTTGATAATTAGTGTTAACATAGTTACCATCTCAAGCTCTCTGACGTGATAATTGCTTTTTTAATACTTGAGGCTACCAAGATTTGAACTTTGGTTTCTTAAACGAAGAGTTCACACGCTACCAACGGATCACATGATTATTTGGCGGATAATATTTGGTACATGATAGTTTGAGTTCATTTTTTTTAATTCATCTCATGGACTTTTATCTTGCTTTAGACAATCAAAATGAGGTGAGCCATGCATACAAACATATTCAATTATAGCATTTTCATGCTTTCGTGTCTCTCTTCTCTTTTTTTTTTTTTTTTGTTCATGTACTAATAATAATAAAAGAGAGATGGAATCATATCCCATTAATTTGTAAAGTTTATATTTTATTACACTATTAAAAAGTTACAACTCATCACTTTATCAAAGGTTCTTAAAAGCTTTTATAATAAATTTTGATTTTGAGATGGCAGGCAATAAGTTTGTGACACTGACTATACAATATCTATCAATAAGCCTGTGATCTGTTGATATTTTGATTCCAATAATCATGATTCAATATTTGAGAGTTTCGAATAAAAAAAAATTATGCCATATCAATTATAAAAGGTTAATAAGTTTTAAAATAGTTACGAGATAATGAATTATAATTCATTGACCCTTGAATCTTCAAACATGGTATTTTCGCTTAAAAACGCATAAACAAATTCATAACTTTTAATACATAAAACACTTGTTTAAGTCATTCAAAGGTGCTTCCAACATGGTTAACCGGAATGAATTATTGAACAAGTATTCTAAGCCTCTAACAGGTCAAACCGGATCATATATCACTCAAGAGACATAACGTCCCATAAAATCATCTTTATAGCATTAAATTAACTCAAGCAAGTTTAATTATGTGAAACAGTATAGGTTAACTTATTTAAAGCATAATCATCATTATATATAAAACTCAAATATTTTTTCAATAAATGTCAAATCTTTTTTTATATAAATTTTAAATTTATATATTCTAATTTTATTACATAAAACGTAATAAATTTTTTATTATCTAACATTTATTTGAATTATTAACTTTTGATAACTAGCCAAGTCTTTTTTACATAAATTCTAAATTTATTGATCCTAATTTTATTACATAAAATATAATAAACTTTTGATTGTCTAATATTTATTTGGATTATTGATTATTGATTTTTTTAAAATAAGTATTTGTTAAAATTTATTGAAACCTTTGGTTTTGTAACATTTATATATTTGACTTTTGAGTTTCTTATAACAAATGATTTTCTCTTCTTTTTTTTTTAAGGTGAGAGGTTATATAAGTGTATTTTATGTCTTTATTACATTTTTTCCTAATTTTTATAATAAAATGATGAGATTTGTTAGATAGAAGGAAATTACACCAAAATATTTAGTTAAAATATACTTTATTTCACTATATTCTTTCGTTAAACTAGGGCATTGAGTAGTAATAATTTAGCTATAATAATAAAAATTTTTGTTTGTAGATTTTTCCTTTTAAAAATCACAAACATATAAAAAGAAAAAGTAAAAATGCTAATATTAAATACATATAGGGTTCATAAATCTTAGGATTGAATTTATTTATTTTACTTTTTCTTAAATTTATTATTTTTATCAAAATAATAACTCAACTTGATTAATAAAAATGAATATATTTGTTTTCTTGTACAATTATTACTTAAAACATGGGCTTAAAGGGAAGATTTAATAATAGAATTTTTGTATAATTTTTTCTTCTAAACAGATAAACTACACATAAAAATTATTTGAAAAAGCATTTATACAACATATGAATTTGAATAGAAACTAGGGGATTTAATATAATATTGATAAATCCTATAAAACTCATAATAATTTTTTTTTTTTACATATTCTTTGCAATTTATTATCCATAAAGCAACATCTTATCTTTATTAATAAATGGTTTTATTTCTCATCTTATGCATTTTTTATTTTAATTAAAATAGGGTTTAGAATGATGATTTATATCGTAAAAACTTTTATAAGTAAAACAAAAAGTGGATAGTGTTTATATTATATTATATTTCATATATATATATATATATATATATAAACTTGATTGGATTCTAAGGTTTTAATGCCAACTTCAGAAATTTCATAGTTAATTAAATTTATTTATTTATTTTCATATTTCATTTGTAGATCAATTCTTTTCAAAACATCTTAAATGGTTTTTTTTTTTCTTTTTTTCATTTACATTCATAGTTCAAAACATAAATTAGAGTGATAACTTATCACAATAGAACTTTCATTTGAATTTTTTTGAAAAAAATAAATAAAATTAGGACACATAAAAATATTAATATTATAAATATATGTGAACTTGGATCAATTATTAAGGTTTAATACTAATTCATAAAACTCACACTTGAAACCAAGACTAAGTTTATTAACTTTTTTATATTTCTTTCTCAATTTAATTTTATCAAAAGAATATATTGAATTTGTCAATGAGAACAATTCTTTCTAATTGCGGCATTGATTAGTGAGCCTAAGGTCATGTCCAAAGCCTCACATTCCTAGGTAATTTATGTTCTTATTGATTAGCAAAAAGTAATTTTTTTTTCTTTTACATTTTTTCTCCGCATCCATGATTTAGAACTTAAGTTTGAACTATAAATTTTCATATAAAATTTCATTTATAAAAGGCACACATATAACTAAAAAAAAAGGTTGGAAAATTTCTTATTAAATAAATTTGAACTCAAATGAATACTAAAGATTTAATGTCAAATTCAAAATTTTCATCATTTAACTATCATAGCTTTATTTATAATAAAATAAAACACTGAGTGAAAAAAAGTACTCTATGAAACTTTTCTAATTCTTAGGATTGATCTCTTCTTTTTTGTGAGATTGATACTTTCATTAAAGTGATTTTTTTTTCTTTTGAAAAATAAATAAATCTAATAATTGAATAATGAATTTCTTAAATTTTCACATTAGTTAAGTATAGTAAATTTATTAAATCTCTTTTTTTAAAAAAAAAAATTGTTTGTATCTCATTCTTCTAAAAATTAATCAATCTTTGAGTTAAATTGTAATATTGGTAATTTTCAACATCCACTAGAATTTCTTAAACAAAATTTAGTTTATAGCAAATAAAAATACATATGATATAAAAGAATACTTTTAATGATATTCTAATGTTAATTATAAATTTTTTTTATTACTCAACTTTTTTTAGTACTCAACTAGATTCTTTTAACCCATTTGTTGTAAGATCACTTTTTTAATATATTATTTAAAATTAAAAATTGAATATATCCACACAAAATTTTAAATACCATATATTAAATAAATTATGATAATGAAATTTATATTTATAAGACTACTATTGTAAATATATCTCTCTATAGCAAGTTTATGGATCTTTTTATTTGCATTATGAAATTTATTAAATATATATTAAAGTAAATGTATGAAAATTTCATTAAATAAACGAAGAGTTTAAAAATATATATACAAATATTTGTATATATACACATACATGCTTATATACACACACACACATGCTTATATATTTTTAAACTTGTTGAAATCCAAGAGACAAACAAAGTAATATACAATTAATATAATAATATCTCTTTAAAATGATGAAAAATCAAAGGGTAAGAAAAATAAAAAACACAATCAATTATCACAATTAACGAATAGACATTGTTTTATTAAAATAAAAAGAATCAGAAGGAAAATAATGCTCAAAAATAAGTTTAGCAATCACAATTAATCTAATTTAAAATAAGTGAATACTATCTTTAAAATTGTAAAAAATAAAAATAAAAGACAAAAAATCCAAAACAAATTAATTATTACAATTAATAGATAAATATTATTTTTAAAGGCGAGGAAAATTGAAAGGTAAAAAAAATTATCACAATTAATAAATAAAAATTATTTAAAAAAATAAAATGTAAAGCCAAAAAAAAAGTAATACACATTCAATTTAATATATATCTCTTTAAAATGGTGAAAATCAAAACATAAAAACAATTTAATCAATTATCATAATTAATAAATACAAATTATTTTTATTAAAATAAAAAATACAAATTAAGCTCAAATTAATCCAATTTTAAATAAGTGAATATTTTCTTTCATACTGTAAAAAACCAAATGATGAGAGAAAACTCAAAAAACACAAAAATCATAATTAATAGATAAATATTATTTTTAAAACTGAAAGCTAGTTGCAACCAAATAGATATACAGCAATTTCCTTTCTGATGGGTTTTTTTTTTTTTTTTCGATTCCCACACTGTTCAATTTAAAACTTTCTGCAATGGCAGGTTCTAACGTGAACTTTCCAAGGCAAATGCTGGATTCCCAAACTGGATGGATTGCTCCCTCTTTTTTGGTTGTAAATGATATTATTCTACCATTTATGAGTTCATATTTGCCCATCAGTAACTTGGCTAAGTTTGGTTTTGATCCTTCAATAACATAGCCCTTCTTTTTTTTTTTTTTTTGGTATTTTGAAGATGTCAAGATTTAAGTGTTGATAAATAAAACTAAAAGTTTAGCACTTAATGAATAGAATCTCAGGGTTTTAAATAGCGGTTGTGTAGAGGCATTGCAGCAACTATTTTACGGTTTCTGTGGCCTCTGCCACCGCTATATACCCAAAATTGGGGTGTACAAAGAATTCATGCTCATAACGGCCGCTCATGGCTGCAAAATAATAGTGTAGTGAACAATAGCGACTATAGCAGGATGCTACAACTGCAATCACCGTTTTCAACCCAAAATAATTTGAAAACCCATTCCTTTTTTTCAACAATCACAGAATTGCACATAAAGAAAACACATTCGAAACAAGAAAAACCCTTAAGTTTACAATTCAATCAACAAATATAAACATAAATCAAGATCAAAGAAAATGTTATTGAAGTTAATTAATGACAACCTCAGACCATGAGAGTTGAGAAGAAGCAAACCATCCTTTAACTGCCAATATGGAAAGATGAAGGGCTTGGGTTCACTAGTAGTGTGGCTGGTGGCTTGGGTTGAGGAAGAAGGTAGAGATAGCGTGGCTGGAAATTGGAAGAGGTTAGGAGATAGAGGAAGCACGGGAGATGCTATGGATTTTTGGAGAGAGAGAGAGAGAGAGATTCAAAGAAATTTAATCGTAAATTTTGAAGAATGTAGGGATGTGAGAAAAGTTTGGTGGGTTTGGGTTCAACCTAACCAATCACAATATTTATTTTTTTAACTTAAAATCACAGTGTTTCGATAT